GTTGTTGTTGTTCAGTCGTTAAGTCGTGTCCGACTCTTCGTGACCCCATGAACCATATTGCGCCAGGCCTTCTGCTCAATAAGTGAGGGAAGAAGGGATGGAAAAAGTTTAAAATGGTCCTAATTTCCTCCTGGCAAATCTTGAGGCAGCAGCCCCCATTGCCCCTTCTCAGTTCTGGAGGTGATTGCTGAGATCATTTTAGCTCTTGAGGAGATGGGTAGTCTGCAACTGTAAAAAAAATTGGATGTGTGTGTTACTATGCAGAGAAGCTCTCATTTATGAAAGTGAAGGAAAGGTACAAGAAATGTAAGAGAACGGAAGTATGAGGCACAGAAAATGATTATTCATTGTGGTAGGAAAATGAGTTTAGATATTTTCTGCTTGCCTTAGGGGTTTCTTTTGGTTTAACTTGCTTGCTTGAGGAATACAATCAGCTGTCAGAGAAATAATAAATACATAATTTAAGGGTTTTGTTTGAAATAGCGTGGGCAGCACGATGGTGAAGACGTGGACCTCACTATTGCTATTACTTTTAATAGCAGGGTTGCAAGGTCATTCTGAGCCAGGTGGCTTCTAAATAAAGAAATAAATATTACAGCCCAACCTCCCCCAACCTGATGCCTTCTAAATATGTTTTGATTCCAATTAGCAGAATTTCAAGCCAGCAATCCCAAAACACTTAAGAAAGTCTGCCCCTCTGGCTAACAATATCTTTTAGCAGATTACACTAAACTGTAATAAACTTTTATTTGGGGTAAAACTATAAACTTGAGTCTTGAAGAAAATACCAGTTTCCCCCTCATTGAAGTGTTCTCCTGGAGGAAAAAATAAATAATAATCTGGCTCTCACACTGTGTTTGAACTAACATTGTAGACAGATTGCTCAAGTGTGTGATGCAATCCTGTAGCTTAATTTAACAGAAAATCATAAAAATCAAGATGAGATGAACAGAGTGGAGCATATTTGGAATCTTTCAGCAAACAACTCAGTCAAATGAAGGTAGTACTTGAAGAGGGAGGGAAACTACTGTCACATATTTGAGAAAGGGGAAGCACGATTAATAGAATTAGGGATCTTCCTGAATGGCCCATCTTGTGTTTCACAATAGGAATGTCAGGCATCTTGGGCATGAACTATGGAAGGCAGGTCAAAGAGGCATTATGACATTTTTATTTTAGCTATGCCCTTTTATCCTGATAGTTCATTAACAGGTTTATTTTTTGGCTTCATATACAATACATGATATATGAAGGGTCAAGTATATATAGCAAAATATCTCAAATTCTTCTTAATGTTCACATCTGGTTAGAAGCAGTCACTGTATAATGTGTTTAAATGTAATTATGCTTATTTGCTGGTCCCAAGGAATTAAGAAGAGTTCTGCTGGGTCTGTCTCAATGCCCAGGTTGTCCAAAGTAGCCAACCAGATGGCCTTGGGAATTGCTTGATACCCTCCATGAATCTGTTTAATTTCCTTTTGATGGCCATGTCAGGCAAGACATCATCAAATTCTGTAGTACAAATTTCATGATTCCTCTGGGTGTATGTGTGTGTGGGGGAATTAACACTTCCTTATCTTGTGGGTTTTCCTTGGTAACTGTGGGAATAGTTCATTGGATTCAAGTTCATGATGACACACCACAACTCTTACATTAGGTTTGTTCATTCATATAATCAAGTAAGTATGTTTGTGTTTGATGGAATTTTATTTGATAATGAGGATTGAAGGCCTTCTGTTATTTATTTATTTATTGCTTTTAAAATAATAACAAAGGAAAAGAAAAAAGATAAAACACCAAAATAATTGTAATGCAAATACACACATTCTCAAAAAAACCTCCCAAGCACTTAAAAAGTGCTTTTAAAAAGGAAAGTGAAAAAAGGAAAAAAGGAAAAAAGGATAATGTGTCCTTATAACAGTTAAACTTCTATATATACTTATCTAATGTAAATATTATTCAAGTGCATATATATATTTATTTCTAATACATTTATATATCTATCATCTGTCTTTAACTTACTGTATTTTGTATAAATGAGTTCCCTATTTCATTATCCTTGTCCATACAAAGTCTACATCTATAGGCAATCCGCTCATAGGTGGCAAGAATAATCAGGTCTTCAATGCATTCAGTGAACAGGGCCATACATTTATCTTTCCAATGCTGCAATATCAGTCTTTTGGCCATAGTAAGAGCATGGAGAGTCCATTTATGTTGTCCAGTTGTCAATTGCCATGTAATAGGTATGTAATTCAAAAGAATATTAGCCTGTGAAAAGTTTTATTTTTGTTGCACAGTCATATTTATACAATCCACTACTTTCTACTTTTCTTCTTGAATAGTCTTTTAGATTTTTTTTTTATCCACCTTTATTATTTTTATAAATAACTCAAGGTGGCGAACATACCTAATACTCCTTTCTCCTCCCATTTTCCCACAAAAACAACCCTGTGAGGTGGGTTGAGCTGAGAGACAGTGACTAGCCCAAAGTCACCTAGAATTTGATGATATAAAGTTGATGATACTAAAAAAAAAAAAAA